ATCCCCTCCTCTGCAAAGCTCTCTTCACCCCAAATAAACATTCCTTCCTCTGTGAGCCCATAGCTTGTTATACCACTTATACCTCTATTATAATTCTTATCTTATATTCTAATTATACATTCACCAGTAGACTAGATTCCTTTAGGGCAAGAATGTATTCCAGTGCCTCACAGTATAGTGTTTGACTCAAGTGATTAGTAAATTTTTGGTGGGAAAGGCAGCAAGATAAAGCATCTTTTGGTGCTTTCTGTGCAGAAACCTAAGTAGTCCTATCGTCCTTAGCTCCTGCCCTCCCAACTCCCTCCCACTCCCCATCCTGCCCAACTTCCTCTTCCCTGCAGCAGACTCCCAAGGGGAGAATTCCACCTTCTTCCAGAGTCTGGCCCCTTCCTGAGTGGGATATGGGGAGGGACAGATCCATCAGGCCCTGGTCACCTTAACCCTCAGTAAGAGAACTGAACTAGTAGCCAAAAGATCTGGCTTTGGTATAGCAATATCAAAAGCTTTTTTGCACATCTGTGAAATGTTCCAAAATCCAGAAAAGCATTATACCCAGTGTACACTCCATGAGTACAGGGCCCTTGCCTGTTGTCCTCCACTGAGTCCGCAGCCCAGTCCAGAGCCAGGCCAGAGTAGGTGCTCCATAAACACTTGTTAAATGAAAGTCGACCACAGGGTTATTTCTAAGTTCTAAGAATCAATCAACCCAACTGCTCAGCAACTGAGGGATGCTTGAGTACGTGTGCAGATGTGTTTATTTATTTATACCCTGCTTCATTACAATGGCAAACTCTGAAACACTCACTCGATGAACCATTACACTGCCATTAAAAGTATTGTTTATGAAGAGTTTATTACACGGAAAATATCTTCTGTATAAAGGGGAGAAAAGAAGTACACAATTGAGATGAGTCACATCACACTGTCTAAAAGCAAGCAAACATTCTCATGAGTAAAAGGCTGGCAAGGAAGGGACACAAACGTTAACAGTAGCTGGTGGTTCTTTCCTCCCCTTTATCCTCCTGTTCTCCATTTTCTAATTTTTGAAAAATGTACATACATTACCAATAAAGTGGGAAACATACACTTTGTTTTTCAAAATGACCTCGACAGAGTGCGGCAGCGCTGCTCCAGGCTCAGGTTCCGCCCCTCCCCCTGCTGCCTCACCCCATAGCCCAGAGATGCCCTCTGGGGCTGAGCCAGGTAAGACTGCGGCTCTGGCCGTCCCCACCCCAAACCACAGGGCACCCAGCAAGGGAGTAGCAATCAAGCAGCCATGCCTGTTTTAGACTGGAAATGCTGCCTCCAGGCAACAGTGCCCCCACAGGTGGGCAGGGCCTCCCCCAGGGCACTCAGAGGGTTAACCCTGCCTCTCAGGAATTCCCAGAAAGGACTCACCCGGGAAATTTCCCAGACAGGTAGACAGACAGAGACCTCAGACAGTTCTCGACACTAAGCACAGATGTTCGCCTGGGGTGGTGGTGCTGAGAGCCAACACAGGCATACAACTTTGGGGTGAGAAGTAGCCCAAAGCAAGAATCGAGACCAGACCCGCCTGGACAGGCTGGGAGCTGGGATGGGGAAGAGGCGAGGAGGGGGACCCAGACTTGGTCTGCAGATCCAGTCTCCTACCTCGGAAGTCCCTTCTGTTGTCTCGTCTGGATTGCACAGTACCTGCACCTCTCCTCTCGGTCCACCAGGCGTCGCAGCGGCTCCAGGAGGGGAGAGGGCAGTGCGAATGTGAGTGGTGGGGCTGCAGTCTGAGCTGTCGATAGCACTTAGCAAGTTTGCTGTCCTGAAAGCTTGTCTATTTCCCCTAATTGTCTGGGGACTCCCCAAGGGTGGGATTTTATCTTAGACGCACAAATATATGGATAGAGGAGTCATGGAATCAAGACCTCAAGTGAGAATGTTGAAGAAAGCTAGCTCCAAACCAGGGAAAGAGGGCTCCGCTTCCCGTTTGCGCCCAGAATTTCCCGCACCCTTGTCCACCCGGCTTGCTTCAGCCCCAGATGCAGGCAGGGCGGGAGCGGACGTGGCTCCGCCAGGCTGGGCTCAGCGAGCCCGAACCTGCCCGCCCGAGCAGCGCAGCGTGGGACCCCACACGTTCCCGCTTAGTCCTGGCGGTCAGAAAAACGAGGGAATCCGGCCCAAAGCTGTCTCCTCCAAGGAGCAATCCAGGGCCACCCTCTACAGAGCTAACACCACCCCTCCCCTAACCCCTCTGCTGGTTTATTTTCTGAGCAGTATGTCCAGCAAAAGTGAAGTACCTTCACTGAACAGTGAGTAAGTTCACTCACTCAACAAAGATTTATTGGCCATCTACTATATGTGCTAGGTGCTGTGCCAAGCGCTGGCAATAGGACAGTGAACAAGGCAAAAAGTCCTGCCCTTATGGAGCTTCGGCTCTATGGAACTTTCGAGCTGGGATGGCGTACTATCGCCGGGGGCACGTGGGAGGCAGACACCCAGGTGTCCTCCTAGGTGAGCAAAACGCGCGTGAGGTGCCGCCCTGGGGCAGATCACCGTGTAGACTTCGGCCCCGGCGGGAGGGGCGGGCCGCACCTGGGATAAACCTGGGGCCAGGCACGTCGCCTGTGGCAGGTGCGCAGGGTGGGGGGTGGTGGATGGACTGGGGTGGCCACGCGCAAAGCCGGGCCTTGACCTGGCCTCTGGGTTACAGGGCCTGACACTTAGTTGGCTCTTAGTAAATATTTATCGTAAGCCTCCTGCGGCCTGAGCTCCCTAGGGGTTAGGGGGAAGCTGGCAGGGCCCTCCCCTGCTCCAGGCTCCTCCTCTGGCGGGGTCAGCGCCGGACTTGCAGCGGCGTCTCGGCCCCGGGCCCCGCGTAATTACAGGGGCTGTCGCCAGGCCTGGCAGTAAAAGAGGAGGATGAAACAGCCTGGGAACTGGGGAATCTGAGCCTGAGCCGTCCAGGGGCCCGGCGTTGGTGGCTTCCCGCGACTCGCAGACGCAAGGAAGGGCCAGGCTGGGGTGCACACACACTCACACCTACCCAGGGCGCGCACACAGCCACACAAACCACCAAACACACGCAGACACACAGCATTGGGCTCTCCCGCTCCAGGCACACTCACGAGCCTAATCAAACACCTGCCGGCCCTCTCCACCCCAGGAACTGACACCCGCCCGCCAACCCCGCTCCAGACGGCCGCAGATCCCGGCGGGGAGAAGAGCCCCGAGAGGCGAATTCCAGCGAGTTTGTTTACTTGGCGAGGGGGGAGGGGGCCCCCAGCTGGGTACTGGGGCCCGACTGACTGGGAGACCCGAGCCGCGCAGTGGGGAGGACGCCAAACGAACACCCCTGCACCCCTACCCCACCCCACCCCCACTGCACGCCTGTACATGTTTCCCCTCCTCTTCACACGCTGTTCACAAACATTAGCATACGTATGTCAAAGAGTTTCACACGCTTCCGCACAGGCGGCTGTGATATTACAAATGCTTTCACACTTGCGCGCCATCACACGTATTTACACACGCCAGATGTACATGTGTGGTTACAGTTTGTCACCCTTCATGCCCAGATTCTCGCAGTCCATATTCAAGAGCCCGTTCGCACGGTACACACGTGCCTTGTTACACACACACAGGTCACTAGTGCCCTGTGGCGCATCTAGAAACAAGAACGGATCCCTAATAGGCCCAAAGGCCCTCCTGTCTGTCCTGCGCGCAGGCACTGATGGACAGAGGCGCCCTTAGCCCCAGCCGCACACGTTACACACTCGATCACACACAGCGTCGCACTTTATTCCTGGCATTTGGCGATGACACAATCTCCTGAACAAAGACAACATTGACAAACCCAACAAAAACAACAGCCGCGCGTGTGTGTGTGGTGTGTGGGGAGGGGCAGTCGAGCGCAGAGTCCGGGAAGGGGGTGGAGGAGGTGGAGAGTGTGGGAACCCGGGCGGCCGAGCACGGGTGTGCGAGGCTCGGGAGAGGTGCGGGACAGAACAACCGCGAACCCTGCAAGATCCGCGCGCAGCGCAGCGAAGTCGGGTCCCGCGCTCGCGCGTTCGCAGACTCGCACGTGCGAGATGGTTCCCGTCTCCCGCACGCGACTACACCCAGGGACACAAACCCACCACCCAGACAGGCCCACAGAGCTTCACGCAGACCCGCAAGTGAGCGAACTCACAGCTTTGAGCAGATTTGTGCGGGCAGAGGAGCGCGCTACGCTCTCTCACCCGGGGCCTCCTAGCCTCCCGGGCCAGCCCCTCCTCCACCTCCCCAGCCCCCAAGCCCGGGGGCAGCCGCGCGCCGGGTGGGGCGGGGACGGGGCGGGGTGACGGGCGGCGCCGGCCCAAAAGGCGGAGTCGCCGGGCGAAGGGGCCAGAGCTGTGAGCGCAGTGCTGACTGAGCCGTGGAGAAAGCCAGCGGGAACCCAGACCCCCAGGAGTCCCTCATCCCCGCCCGGCCTGGCCAGGCCCCACGCTATGGAGTTCCTCTGGGCCCCTCTCTTGGGTCTGTGCTGCAGTCTGGCCGCTGCTGATCGCCACACCGTCTTCTGGAACAGTTCAAATCCCAAGTAAGCCCCAAGTCTCCCGCTGGCAGCCTGGGCGCCCGGCTGGCACTGCTCTCCCCCCCAGGATAACTGTCCTCACCAAGCTCTGACCTGAGCCGAGGGGAGGTGACCAGAGGTGGGAGAAAGTCTGCAGATTTTCCTCCCCTCACTTCTGCCTCATCTGTGGGGGCACCCCACTCTAAGGCAGGAACCTTCTCGTGTCTACTTGCGCGGGCACTATTTCTGCTTTTCCCTTCCTTCTCCCTGGCACCCCTATTACTCTGAAGTGAGGGACCCAGTTCCTGCCCCAAGCGCAGACCATCCTCCCTGGCCGCCAGGGTTCTTGTTCTAGTACCATGAAAGTTTCTGTGTCCTTCCTCGTGTACCCCTTGGGCACCTGCTCATACTGACAGATACCTGATGTGACATCAAGAGTGAGCAGAATGCTCAAGGTAACCCCGGAAGGACCCCTCGGGAGGGACTTGGGGTGCGCGCGTTAAACATTCATTCTGTACTTAAGGCGACCGTGGAAAACCCTCCACAAGGGGTCTTTCGGGGTGATGTGAGTGAGGCACATGCGGTGCATGGGGAGGTTGAGGGAAACACCTGTTTCATGGGGTTCAAGGAGTAAAATTGAAGAGATTGATGGAGGGAGGTCATGAGAAAGCTTCAGAAGGAATGGAAGGGGTTAAAAGTTTACAGAGGGCTCTGGGTAGGAAGGAGTTAACTTCTCCTGGGCAGGTTTAGGGCTGCGAGGCAAATGGTACTGGGAGGAAGACTCTGTCGGACCCTTTGTTCTTGCCCTTGAGTTTTCTGAAGTTATGGGAACAATATTTGTGGGGAAAACAGGGAGAGGGTTAGGGAGGAGCAGGGAGAGGAGGGCTGGGTCACAAAAAACATTTCTCAAAGCTTAGCCACCCTCAGCCCCAAGGAGCCTGCCCCCCACTCCCCTTGAGAAATATTGTGCCAGCTTCCTCTGACCCTGTGGCATTGCCTAGTGGGGGGTCTGCTGTCTGTGGCACGTTGGGGTGGGGCTGGGGACAGTCAGCTGCCAACCCCAGAGGGCAATGCCCTCCTGCCCATGGGGCTCCAGGGCAGCCCAGCCAGCCCTCCCCTGCCCCACTCCTTGCTGCCTGTTCTTTGCCTCCTTGACCCAATCAATCTTGTCCTAGTAGTGGGAGAGAGCAAAGTCCCTGTTTATGCCCATGCCAGGTGTTGACTGAAGGAGGAGGAGGGGACAGGAAGCCATGAGTAGGGAGGGGGGGACCCTGGCCTTTTCCGTTCCCAAGCTCCCAGGTTTCCTCTCTTTCAGGAAGGAGCCTCTTCCTTGCCCCCCTCCCCGCCTTCCCTGACGCCGCTGCCCCCCTTTCCCAGTTGGAGAGCAAGAGTCAATTGAGGGCTAAGTGGAGCAGATTGTACCCCCAGGAGAGGCGGGTGATGGGCGCCCCCACCAAGCACAGCTTCTGCCCTGTCCTTCTGGCCACACTCACCCTACAATACCCAGGACTACAGAGAAGCCAGTCAGAGTGGAGTCCATAAGCAGCCAAGCCAGGCCCAGCTTGGGGGCAAATATGAGGTGGCATTGAGCTGGGTGGGTGTTAGTCTGGCATAGGTGACTCAGGACAGTGGGCATTGACCCTGGGATCTCCAGGCCCCAGGCGGGGGCAGCATGGTGAGAAGGGCGGTGCCGCCGTTGGGCACTGGCCTCCTTGTGCTATAGGCTGTCATTGTCCTGTCCATTCAGACCTGCTAGCTCCCCTTGCCTAGAGGACAGTGCTGGGGCAAGTGGGCACTGTGCCATCCTGGGGTCCTGGGGGCAGTCCACACTTGACAAGGTAAATTTTCACAGGTTCTCATGAGTGCCGGGGCGGGTAGCAGAGGTGGATGAGGAATGAGTCAGTGCCCGTCACGGGAATGGGGGAAAGACGCCAGGCCCAGAGCTGAAATACCTGTTCTGAAATGGCTTCTATGTTTATCTCTCCAGAGAGGAATTTTAAAAGCCTCTCTCTGCTCCTCTCTCTCTTTCCACCAGGGTGGGGGAGGGGCCCTGCGAGCCTAGCTTAAGCTGGGCTGTCGTGCTGCTGCAAAGCCCGCTGCTGAGGGGTCATGCTGACTGGGCAGTGGTGCCCACCTCAGAGTCCTCTTGGCCTAACTCCTCCCCCTGCCCCTGCCCCCACCCCTGCCCAGGGCTTTGGTTTGAAGCAAGTTGGCAGCTCACTCTGCTGAGTCTCTAGCTGGCAATGCTTGGGGGAATTCAGAGAAGCTGACCAGCTGGAGGTGGGGGGAGGCACTTTTCCCCCTACTGGGACCCCACCCAGACTGGAGCCAGGTGTCTGGAGCTGGTGGGGAGGGGCTGGTGGGCAGTCAGGCTGGAGCCTGTGGGGCCTGGGGAAAATGGACTGGGGGAGGGGAGCTGGCTGCACCTTGGGAGGAGGGGAGGGGAGAGACAGCTTCAATCTGAGAACTCCACGTTTCATCTGGGGGGAGGTGCAAATGTAGCTTTTGGAGATAAAGGGACAGGGAGGTTTTGGGGTGCACTGAGAGAAGGGGACAAGGAGACCAGGGCTTAAATTTGAGTAGGCAGAAAGGAAGATTTGAGAGGACTGAATGAATTGGTAAGAATGATTTAACTTAAAGGACTAGGGCCATTATCTGTGGGCCAGGGTATACCGGGGTTTGGGGGAAAGCGAAGCTGGGAAATGTGAGATATACCCAGTGGGTCAGGGGAAAAATGAGAGGAGTGAGAGAAGTAAAGACATAGATGTGTTGGGGGCTGAGGGATCCTGATTACAGAATGGCCCAGCAGGGTCTCAGATTGAGGTCTAATCACATTTAAAAGGAGCAACGGGTAGAATAGATTTGGGAAAATATTTATGTATAGAAGAGAATGATGAGCGAGCTAGAGATACAGGCAGGAGCCCATCCTAGGGTAAATATCAGGGGGGTTAGAAAGTGCTTGGGTATCTGAAAGATACTAAATGGATGCTATTTGAAATACTAATAGGAGACAGTGGAGGGAGTGTTTGGAGATGGTGGAGAGATGTGTAAGAGATCAAGATCAGTGCATATTGGGAGTTGAGATTTTGGAAAAATCTTCAGGGGGTCCAGTGTGAAATGTGAGGGGTCATGTGAACATGTGGAGGCTCAAGGCTCTGGCCTGGCTTCTGAATGTCCACCTGCTTCCTCCTCGTCCTCCGGCGCCCAGGTTCTGGAAACAGGACTACACGGTACACGTGAGGCTGAATGACTACCTGGACATCATCTGTCCGCATTATGAGGATGACTCTGTGGCAGATGCTGCCATGGAGCGGTACACACTGTACCTGGTGGAGCGTGAGGAGTACCAGCTGTGCCAGCCCCAATCCAAGGACCAAGTCCGCTGGCAGTGCAACCAGCCCAATGCCAAACATGGCCCAGAGAAGCTGTCTGAGAAGTTCCAGCGCTTCACACCTTTCACCCTGGGCAAGGAGTTCAAAGAAGGCCACAGCTACTATTACATCTGTGAGTACCCGGGAGGCAAGCACACAGGTGCCCATCCTGGGGGGTGCAGTGGCATGATGCATATGCTTGGGTACATGCTTAATGGGAAGTCAAGCAGCAAGGGCCCCTTCCAATCCTGAATTCTGTTTCCATTCATTCACATCACAAATGTGCAGTGAGCTTCCAATGTGTGCCAGGCACTCTGCTTGGCACTATGGGTACGGAGATAAATAAAACACTACAGAGCCCTGTCCTCAAGGAAACTGGGAAGAAATACGCACAGGTTAACAAACCATTAGAACCAGTGTGATATGGCAGACATGAGCACAAGGGCCTTGGGAAAATGGCCTGGGTACCTGCCAGGCTAGGGGATTCAGAGAAGACTTGGTGGGGAATATGACCCCAGAGCTTAGGACAAGCAGAGGAGTTGGCCAGGCGTGAAGGTACATGTACAAAGGGAGCACGACATCCTCAGGGAACTTCCTGTGTTTCAGCATAGCTGGAGTGAAAGGGACACAGAAAGTAGGACAAGGTGAGCTTGGAGAGGTGGACAGCACAGATCATGGGGACCTAAAAAGTGCTAAGGAATTTGAGCTTTACCCTAAGGGCAGTGGTGAGCCACGGGTGGATTTTAAAAGTTATAAGATCAGGCAAGGGGTGGGGGTCTGGGGTAAAACAAAGAAAAAGAAATATCAGGCCAGGTACGGTGGCTCACACCTGTAATCTCAACACTTTGGGAGCCCAAGGCAAGAGGATGGCTTGAGCCCAGGAGTTCAAGACCAGCCTAGGTGACATAGCGAGTCCCCATCTCTACCAAAAAAAAAATTTTAAAAAGATCAGCTTTGTGTAGAATGGATCTAGGACTCGCTCTGTCATTGGGACCTAGGCAGGAGTAGTATAAAATGGCCCGGGTAAAGGGAACATATTGTGAAGACCTCACCCAACTTCAGGCTTGGAGTGAAGGATGGAATGTGGGGAGGGGACAGTGTCTATGTTCTTTTTACCACCACTGCCAAAGCTTAGGGTTATTCCAAAGAATAGGAGGCTGGGCTGAACATTGGGCAGGAAGTCGGCAAAAACTAAGGAGAATAAGAATCAAGATTAGAGGGAAGAGAGGAATTAAAATTAGTAGGGAGCCAAGAAAGCAGGGCCAGAGGCACTTGGGCTTGTATTTTCTTCCAACAAATGTTCTTTCCTTAACCCCCGTGGGCTTATCTTGCAGCCAAACCCATCCACCACCAAGAAGACCAATGTTTGAGGTTGAAGGTGACTGTCAATGGCAAAATCAGTGAGTGTCAGGGCCCTGTGGGCCTCCCTCCTGCATCTCTATGTTGAGCCTGGTCTAGTAATCTGGGATGGTGTGGAAGTCCCACAGCCCAGCCCACTCAGCACTTATACCCCTCTGCCTCCCTGGTACAATGCCTCACCTACTGCTCCTATTATCTTTCAGCTCACAGTCCTCAGCCCCATGCCAATTCACAGGAGAAGAGACTTGCGGCAGGTGGGTAGCTGCAGCAAATTGGGTCTGGGGCACAAGGAGCGGTCTGCTTGGAGGTTATGTACAGGAGGTGGCTCTTTCTCCAGGCAGGGGCTGGGGAAACCCTGTTGTGCTGAGGGCCAGTGCAAATAGTGGGGCCACTCACAATGGGGGCCTTTGCCCTCTCACCTTGCAGATGACCCGGAGGTGCAGGTTCTACATAGCATCGGTTACAGTGCTGCCCCCCGCCTCTTCCCATTTGCCTGGGCTGTGCTGCTCCTGCCACTTCTGTTGCTGCAAACCCCATGAAGGTGTATGCCACACCTGGCCTTAAGGATTGGAACTGGGCTGAGGGGACAGGAGCAGGCACCGCACACGTGTCCTGGGGCCACTCCCAAAGCCCCAGCCCTGGGAACCACTCCCACCACATGCACAGGCTGTCACCCAGCAGCCTCAAAACGGGTCAGTATTAAGGGTTTCAACCCAAAGGAGGTCAACCAGCCTGGCAGTGCCATCTCCACCTCCATCTCAAAGGGATGGAGAAAGAAGTGGGGACAGTCTTTCCCCCACCATTCCTGCCTTTAAGACAAAGAAACAAGCTGTGCAGACATGGTCCCTTAAAAAAGGCACAGTGGGAGCCAAGCTGGAAGAGGTCTGGGGCCACATGGATGGACAGAGCTTGGCAAAGATGCCCCTCGGAGAGTGAGCCAGGATGTTCAGATGAACTGAGTGAAGGAAAAGCAAGAAACAGTTTCCTGCTTGGAGCCAGGTACCGGAGAGGTAGCATGCTTGGGCTGACCCAGCATCTCCTGGCAAGACTGCTGTCTGTGGAGCTGCTATAGAGAGGTTTGTAGCCAGGCACTGCATTCTCCCCCATCCTGGGGCAGTGCTCCCCAGAGCTATGCCAGCAGGGGGGCTGTGCCAACCTGTTCCTGGAGTGTAGCTGTAAGGGCAGTGCCCATGTGTACAGTCTGCCTAGAGTGTAGCCTAAAGGGCAGGGCCCATATGTACAGTATCTGTATATAAACTTGCTGTGTGTCTGTGATTTCTACAACTGGAATTTTTTTATACAATGTTCTTTGTCTCAAATAAAGTGTTTGGTTTTTTTGGATGTGCTTTTCTGCCACTGCATATTAATTTATGACCATTGAGTCCCTACTATGTGCTAGGCTCTGTGCCATACCCATAGCAAGTGGGTTTGAATTTCTTTCTCTCTCCAAAGGATACATGCCCCTCACCAGGCCCAAAGGGTGGGGTGTTTCTTCCACTGAGGGTAGTCCGGGACAGGAGTGCTCCCACAGCAGTCTCTGAGGATCTAAGCTGCACTCCACTCTAGGAGATCTTCCTGTCCAATCTCTACCCACTCTCCCACCCCCTCAGAGCTGGGCTTTGGCATACTATCCAGGTACTTACGCTGCTTGGGTGAGTCAGGGAAGCTGGGAACGCCAGCTGAGGCACGCTGCCCCGCCCCACAGCCCCATCAGCAGAGACGTGTGGGAGGTTGGGAGGGAAACTTCCCAGCAGCAAGTGGGTTGGACTAAGGGGTCAGTGATCGAGGCTTTAGTGGGTTGGCCAAGTCGTGTAAAGTTGGCCCTATGGCTCAAGAGGGAGGGCATCTGAGAAAGACTCGGTGATTTCTGGCAATCCCTGTTATTTAGGGAAGAGGCTTCAGCAAACTCCGGAAAAAGCCTCCCGAGCCCTGTGGAACTGAGGTTCTTATATGGCGCTCTGGATGGAAGGCGTGTTGAAGTCCGGTTTAGTCTATCAAGCTTTTGTTTTGGGGTCTACCGCGTAGGCGCACCGGTCTGTAGGAACACAAGCGTTGCGGCTGGGGGGTAGATGACTCAAGGGTAGGCGAAGTGTGAGGAGCAGCAGGTGCCGGGGACAAAATCGGCCGAGCCCTAGGACGGGGACCGACCAGGATCTGGAAGGCAAGGTCCGAACCAGTACCACTGAGAGCCGGCGGGGCGAAAGCCCGAGCCGGGACAGCCCCGGCGGGCGCGCGGCCGGGCGGGGCCCGAGTTCCGGTTCGGCGTTCGCGGGGAAGGCCGGGTTTCGCTTCAGTTTCCGGAGGGACGGCCCGAGCGCGCGGGGGCGGAGCCGAGTGCGCGCGGGGCGGGGCTCCGGCGTCCCGGATCCGGGACAGACGGCTGGCGCGGGACGCTGGGCGCGGGATCCGACTCTGGGCGTGATGGAGACGGGCGGTGTGTTCGACTCGCTCCTATCCGGAGTTTGCGTGGTCTTCACCCTCGGCATGTTCTCCACCGGCCTGTGAGAGCGCGGCCGGGCTGGGCTGGGGCAGGACCGGGAAGTCAGGAAAAGAGAAAGAGGGGGTTAGAGACGTGGCCACAGCGCTGGGCTGCGTCCAGACCTGGGGTGAAAGTGGAATCACGTCGAGGGTACCGGAGTACAAGGTCGAGGGTGGTCATTCAGCCTGAGGCAGAAGGCAGGGGAGCTGGGGGAGGGTGTGCGGTTGTCCAGGGAGAATGACAGGCATCGGGAATCTCCCCCAGCACCCTGGTTCTCCCTGCCCACCCTTCATCCCTTTCGGGGCCCCATTACAGCACGGACCTCAGGCATATGCGAATGACCCGGAGCGTGGACAGCGTCCAGTTCCTGCCCTTTCTCACCACGGAAGTCAAGTGAGAGGGGCGACCGCTGCGGTGGGAAAGGCTGTCTGAGGGAGGTGGGGGGGAAGGGTAGGAGAAGCGTGAAGGAGACCCCTTGGGTCCCCCTCCCACACTGAACCCCGCGGGCCATGTCCCTCCCCTCCACCCTGCAGCAACCTGGGCTGGCTGAGTTATGGGGCCTTGAAGGGAGATGGGACCCTCATCGTTGTCAACGCAGTGGGTGCTGTGCTTCAGACCCTGTATATCTCTGCGTATCTGCACTACTGCCCTCGAAAGGTAGAGGCCCTCCCTTGGACCCCTTCTCTGCCGCATGCCCTGCCTTGAGCAAACACTACTTCTTGGAAGATTATAACAGGCTGGCACTGCCACCCTTTCCTGGAAGGCCCCTCCAGCCTTGCAGTTCTTCCTCCATGAAGCCAGCCTTCTGAGACACACACTGCCGCCCTTCAGGCAAGGCTGGTAGCTCTACCTACCCAGAGATGCCCATGCTGCCCTGAACTTCTGCCCAACAAGCTGAGGAGAAAGGGCTTTGTCTTTGGTATTTCTTTCAGAGACAGGGCCAGTGAGTGAGAATGAGATGTTTAGGTCTGCCTCCCGACTGAATCACACAAGCACTTATTATGCTCCTACTGTTTGTGCCAAGCTCACAGAAAAAAAGATACGTTTTCCTCCCTTGGAGGCCTCCAGTGTTCTGGGTATATAAGACTTCCCATCACTGGTTGGAAAGGGGCTGTGACAAGTGCAATACTGGAGGCTGAGACAAAGGTTAGCTTCCCCATTTGAAGCATGGGAGAGGAGGGCAGGATGAATTAAGTCTAGCAGGGAAGTCACAGTGCTCCTGGCACATCTGGAAGTAAGGCTGCTCTCTCCCCTGCAGCGTGCTGTGCTGCTACAGACTGCAACCCTGCTAGGGGTCCTTCTCCTGGGTTATGGCTACTTTGGGCTCCTGGTGCCCGACCCTGAGGCCCGGCTTCAGCAGCTGGGCCTCTTCTGCAGTGTCTTCACCATCAGCATGTACCTCTCACCACTGGCTGACCTGGTGAGTGGGGGTGTCCAGGGAGGTAGGGGAGATAAGAAGGGCCAGGCTGTCATAGCCAAAGACAAGCTTATACTCTAGAGGAAGGGGAGACCCAAATCCTGGAAGGAGACAAAGCAGCAGAAGTGGGTGAGTGGGAGGCATGAAAGAAGGGTTGAGTGACAGATCAGGGAGAGTGTTTGACCTTTTTCTTGAGGAAGGTTTTAGGCAAGTGAGAGCTTTACTATGTGACTCAGCCAGGAGTGTCTTTCATTCTTTCCCACAGGCCAAGGTCATTCAGACTAAATCAACACAATGTCTCTCCTTCTCACTCACCATTGCTACCCTTCTTACCTCTGTCTCCTGGTCCCTCTATGGGTTTCGACTCAGAGATCCCTACATCATGGTAAGCAGAATAGGGATGGGGTCACAGGTATACAAGGTGGAAAATTGGCTTCTCTCCTCATAGCAGTCCTTGTGATTTCAGGTGCCCAACTTTCCTGGAATCCTCACCAGCTTTATCCGCCTCTGGCTTTTCTGGAAGTACCCCCAGGAACAAGACAGGAACTACCGACTCCTGCAAACCTGAGGCAGCTCACGTGACCACTGGACACCTTAATACCAATTTGATACCAAAGAGAGCTCTTTGTTTCAGCTGGTCCTGCTGACCAACTCCCCAGGTGCAGTGGGTTGTGGGAATAAGAGACGACTTTGAGAATAGAGGGACCAAAGAAAGCAGCTTTACTGAGATGATTGGTGGAACCTAGGAGATTAAATCACTTTTATTTTTCAGAGAGATTATTTTTTTTAATTTTGGAGGTCGGGGTGATATCTCTAGAATATGCCTTAAAATAAATTGTTCCCACCCCTGCCCATCGTGGTTCACTCTCTATTCATGATTCTAAACCTGCCTGGTTTGGTCAAGGGCAGATCCAGTTATTCTCAGGCTGGTAGGGTTGGCTCAGAAAAGGCATGAGAAAGAACCAAGAGGTGGGAAAGACCCAGGAAGGTCTTAAAAAGAACAGAGCTTGGATGTTATGAAAAATGGAAGTCAGGCTTCAAGTACTACAGGGTTAAAAGGACCAGGAAAGTGAAATGGCATTTCCATCCTGAGAGATTTTTTTTTTAAATTTTGTATTACATATATATCTTTTTTTTAAATATCAGCATATTATGGGGGTACAAATGTTTAGGTTATGTATATTGCCCTTGCCCCTCCTCCCCCGAGAGATTTGAGAAGGGGTCTTTGCCTCCTTTGGAGGAAAACATGGGGAAGACCAATAAGATGCAAAAAAAAGGCAGAGATGGCCTCAGGAAGATGGTTCTTCCACCTCTTTTCTCTACCGCTGGTACACAGAATCCCCAATTCCTACTCTCCATACTCAGACTAAACAAAGTTAGAAAATAAACTTGCTCTTTAATGGGGAATAGGAAGGAGGGTTGTCCAGGCAGGAATGGGGTTAGGGTGTCAGAAGCGCAGTCCTTTGCGGGCTAAGTCGGCTCGGGCCTCCTGGATCTGGTTCTGCAGCTCGCGTGCAGCGTCCTCGCAGTCATGAAAAGTGGCCACGCGATAGCCTACAGTGCCCAGGGCATAGCAGCCGGCGGACACCAGCAAGTAGGCGGGCAGTGGCCACAGGACCTCCTGGCAGGACGAGGGCAGCTCCAGGCCCAGGGCTCCCATAGTCAGTGCCGCCCAGGTGGAGCCCAGGATCGCCAGTCCCCAAAGCCACTGCGCTAATTTCGTCATGGCCACTACAGGAAGAGAAAGCAAAGCTCAGATCCCTTCCACCTCGCTACCCCCTCTACATTTGAAACCCATCCCCCGCTGCCCTAGTCCTCCTCGCCCACTCCCTACAGCCCTCAACATACACCTACCTCTTTGCCCCGCGATTCCCCTTCCCGGCGCGGCCCCGGCGTCAGCGTCCGGAAGTCCTGCCTGGCTCCCGCTCCGCCTCCGCGCGGCCTTCTGGGAGTTGTAGTTCACATGGCGGCCGCCGTCCTGGTCTGGGTGGTGTTCAGCCAGCTGTGCTCCTCAAACTGCCGGCTGGATCTGGAGGGGCCCCGGCGCTGCTTCCCCACCTCGGGCCCCAGCTCCAAGCTGGCGGGGGGCTTATAGAAAGCCTGAGGAGACACCTTTAAATGTTGCAACAAGGTGGGAATGTAATGTCGTTCCCCTTCAACTCTGTTCTCTAGCGCAGAAATCCTATTCATTCATTCCGTCAGTCACTCATTCACTCTTTTGAACATTTCTTTTTCTTTCTTTCTTTCTTTCTTTCTTTCTTTCTTTCTTTCTTTCTTTCTTTCTTTCTTTCTTTCTTTCTTTCTTTCTTCTTTCTTTCTCTTTCTTTCTTTCTTTTTCTTTCTTTCTTTTCTTCTTTCCTTCCTTCCTTCCTTTCTTCTTTCTTTCTTCCTTTCAACGGGGTCTTGCTATATTATTGCCCAGGCTGTACTGAACATTTTTTGATCACCTTGATAGACTGGAGATATAGAGATGCCAAGAGACCCGACGCCTTTTGGGGCGAGGGGGACAAGCAGAAGTCAAGGAAGCAGTTGCATTGACAACGTAACCATGAATCCTTGAGATTAATGTTAGAACAGAGGTAGTCGTATTTTTCAAAAGAAACGCAGAGGTGCAAACAATATACCTTGGAGCTACAGGAAGAAGGGCTCCAGGATGATGTCCTCTTAAAAATGTGCCAGATCAGGCCGGGCGCGGTGGCTCACGCCTGTAATCCTAACACTCTGGGAGGCTGAGGCGGGCGGATTGTTTGAGCTTACGAGTTCGAAACCAGCCTGAGCAAGAGCGGGACCCTGTCTCTACTAAAAATAGAAATTAATTGGACAACTAAAAATATATACAAAAAGTTAGCCGGGCATGGTGGTGCATGCCTGTAGTCCCAGCTACTTGGGAGGCTGAGGCAGTAGGGTCGCTTGAGCCCAGGAGTGTGAGGTTGCTGTGAGCTAGGCTGACGCCACAGCACTCACTCTAGCCCTGGCAAAAGAGTGAGACTCTGTTTCAAAAAAAAAAAAAAATGTGCCAGATCAGAGGAATTACCTGATGTGTTTAAAGTATTAAAAGGAGGTATATAATTCTTTCAAAAAGTTTTGGGGATGAATTCATGATTAATATATATAATAGAAAACCAAGTGAAAGAAAAGATTAGGCAATTATCAACTTAAAAGAAAACAGTTATAAAAGAAAGGAAAGAAAATTAATAAAAGCCTGTCTGATAAAGACTACATCTGTAGTTGGACAGAGTTAGCTTTATTAACTTGCTGGGAGAGAGAGCACACACTAGAGAAACTGTGGGGCAACTCATAACAGAGGAAGAAACAGGGTCATTACAGAATATGGGAAAAGGTTGACTTTAGGTAAAAAAATATATATATATGTATATATATTAATTTATTTATTTTTACTTTGAGGTGAGGTCTTGCTATGTTGCCCAGGCTGGACTCAAACTCCTAGGCTCAAGCTCTCTTTCTGCCTCAGCCTCCCAGATAGCTGGGGTTAAGTAGTCACTCCTGGCTAGGTAAAACTTAAATGAAGCAGTATTTTGGGTAAATATGACTGTAAGGAAAGGATCAACAAGAAGTCTGGGCTGAGAAGTGGACTGAGGGGGCCATTTGCAAACTACAAAGTTAAGATAAATGTAGGATGTTCAGGCTGGACTGAACATTTTTTGATTGCCACAATAGACTTGGAAGATACAGAGACGCTAAGAGACTCAACCCCTCTTGGGGTGGAGGGGGAAAGCAGGAATCAGGGAAGCAGTTGCACTGTCAATTTAACCATTGTCTGAAACTTTGCACCTGGCTTGGAAATCAGAGCTACTTCTCTGTGTTAAAGTAATCCACATGACTCAGACCTCCAGGCAAGGTGGGATGTTCCATTCTCACTGACTGATTTCAAATAGCAAAGTTTGTGACTGTCTGTGATTTTAGAAAACTAAGTTTCTCAGCCCTATGTCCTTGGTGTTAACAAAAGCAGTTTTTACAGATTCACAGTCTTAGTACAAACACGAATGGCTCAGCTGTGAAGAATATTTTCACAGCCATAATGTAAACAACTAAGTATTGATTTAACTATTAATAAAAATTGGGATGTAGCTAAATTGAGAGGGGAAGGGAGTATATTAGAAGAGTTGGTATTAGAGAGAACAAAATCCTCAACTTCTATAGCAGGGAGTTAATTGATTATATCTAAAATAAAAAAAAGAAATAATAAATGAGCATGTTATTTAGAAATACACAGGCAAGTACCAGAAGCAGCAGCCTAGCAACTTGAGAGTGGTTGTATGGAGGAGTACATATGTAGGGGTAGAAGAGTAGTCGGAGACCGTTATTTTTCATTAAAAACCCTGCAGAACTAGTTGGATTTTAAAACTATACAAATTCCTTTGTTAAAATAATAATTAAGGCAAATGAAAATATTTTTAAAAACCTGCTATAGCAGGTTCAAAGCCCTAACACTAGCTCCATCCTCCCACCCCCATCCCACCAAATCCTACTGGTTGCTCACTGGTCACAGTGACTTTCAAATATTGGCACACTTCAGGGGCTGGACATCAGCTTTGCAGATCAGTGAATTCTATTTTACTCACACACAGTAAACTTGGCCCTGAAAGACTGCCACTGCCCAGAATATTTTGGGGGGAAAGATAATGAGGAGGGGCTTTCCCCTGTACACATAAAGATGATAAATTATAAAGTTATAATAATCAGCAGCAGAAAAATAAACATTCTCTAAAGAGCTATTATGTGTCCTACCGTGTGCGACACAGTCATGTTTAATTTTCACAATACGCTGTAGTAGTTACTTTTATATCTCCATGTATGAATGAAGAAATCAAGACACAGGGTAAAAGGTAAGTAACTTGCCCGAGGTTATGCAGATAGTAAGTAGCAGGGCTGTGCCATCAGTCTCAAAACTATGTTCTTAGCAATTTCCTTCTACTGTGTGGCTGGTACAGGAATGGGTAGGTAGGGTCAGCATAACAGCTGACATTCATTGATTGATTACTATGTGTCAGGCACTGGGGTGAGTGCCTTCTGGGCGTTATCTCAGTCCGTCTTCACAGCAACCCTATGAAGAAGATACTACTCTCTCCATTTCACAAGTGAGGAAACTGAGGCATAACCCAGACAATCTTCCTCCAGAGCCTGCACACTTTACCACTACAGTATAGCACCTCCTTCCCTAGATCAATGGAACAGAATAAAAAGTGAATAGGTCAAGCCTGTGTACCAATTTAGCATATGATAGAGGTGGCATCTCAAGTGAGTGAGGAATGATGGATTGTTTGAAAAGCACTTGCAACTAGCTTACCATTTGAAAAAAATTAAGTTAGACTTCAACCTCACACCTTATATTATTAAACCAATTTGCAGATTCACAGTCTTAGTACAGAGCATTAAAAAAATTAATGTAGAAAGTGAAACTCTAAATATGCTATACGAAAATGTGGTGCAAATTTCTCTAACGTTCAGCTCAAGCATCATGTCCTCTAGGCAGCCTTCCTGGGCCTTGATCCTGTCTTGCAGGGTTGGCCACTATCTCACTCCTCTGTGCTCCCCCCGACCCCCGACTCTCTTTTTTTTTTTTTTTCGAGACAGAGTCTCACTCTGTTGCCTGGGCTGGAGTGCCGTGGCTTCAGCCTAGCTCACAGCAACCTCAGACTCCTGGGCTCAAGTGATCCTACTGCCTCAGCCTCCCTAGTAGCTGGGACTACAGGCATGCACCACCATGCCCGGCTAATTTTTTCTATATATATATTTTTTTAGTTGTCCAGATCATTTCTTTCTATTTTTAGTAGAGATGGGTTCTCACTCTTGGTCAGGCTCTCGAACTC